CACCCCCCTTCTGCTCAGGAGACCTGTGACTGCAAGTCCCCCCAGGCAGAACCACACCTCCCTCCGTCCATCCTTTAGATGCTCCATCTGCTGCTTCCTGGTTGCGTCTCCTGGTGATGGAGCGCTCTTCCTGACCACCCTCTCCCTGTCTGTTAAACCAGGGTAGATTTGGGATTATTTTTTAAAGCAGAATCTGTCTGGGACCAAGAATTCCCAGAATTGCCACGTGGAAGCCTGGGCTGTATTGCTTAAGCAGGTGTCCCGGTGGGAATGTTTCAGCCCCTGCCCCTGACCCCCTAAACCCCCACCTGTCCCTGGGACACCCTGGACACCACCTGCAAACAAATGACCGCGTGAGAGGCTCTGGCCCATTTGCTCCTGGTGGAACCTCACGCCCCCCAAGCCCGGGGCATCCCTGCCCCGTCCTGTTCTCAGTGGGAGAGAGAGGGGAACTGGAGGGAAAGCTTTCACGGGGCCACAGGAAGGAGAAAGCGGGCTGTCAGCAGGGTGCTCCGGGTTTTGTTTTGTTTTTATCTTTAAACTGTGGAGGGAGAATAGAAATCTCAGTGGGGTGTTTGCTTTTATTTCTATAATACATCTTGTGGGTTGTTTCATGTTAATAACTAAGGAATCACACCTTTTTCTTTTTAATCCTAACCCAAGGCTATGTTTATTTTTTTATATATTTTATTGATTTTTTATAGAGAGGAAGGAAGAGGGATAGAGAGTTAGAAACATCGATGAGAGAGAAGCATCGATCAGCTCTCCTGCACAGTTACTTTCTATAAGCTTACCTTTTTAAAAAATATGTTTATTGATTTTAGAGAGAGAGGAAGGGAGAGAGAGATAAACATTGATTGGTTGCTTCCCATACACTCCCCAACTGGGGATCGAGCCCAATCTGGGTATGTGCCCTGATCAGAAATCGAATCCTCATCCTTTCATTGTATGGGACGATGCCCCAGCCAACGGAGCCACCTGCCCATAGCTGGAATCACATCTTTTTTAAAAATATATATTTTTTTATTTTAGAGAAGAAGGGAGAGGGAGAGAGATTTAGGAACATCAGTGATGAGAGAGGTCATTGATCAGCTGCCTCCTGCCTACCCCACACTGAGATAGAGTCCACAACCTCAGGCCCTGACCTGGAATCAAACCGTGACTCCTGGTTCACGGGTCGATGCTCAATCACTGAGCCACTCCAGCCAGGCTGGGATCACAGCTTTTTAAAGGCTGCATTGTATTTCATTGTAGGGATAAATAAATAAAAACTTGTTATTTATTTTTTTAATAATTTTATTGATTTTTTACAGAGAGGAAGGGAGAGAGATAGTTAGAAACATCAATAAGAGAGAAGCATGGATCAGCTGCCTCCTGCACACCCCCTACTGGGGATGTGCCTGCAACCAAGGTACATGCCCTTGACTGGAATCAAACCTGGGACCCTTCAGTCCCCAGGCCGACGCTCTATCCAGTGAGCCAAACCAGCTAGGGCAAACTTGTTATTTATTTAACCGTTCCCAAAGATGGACACTTCTATACATTTCAAACCATGTTGCAATGAATGTTCTTGATCATGCTTCACATTGCACTCATGTAACTTTATCTGTTAAAACATTCATAGGGGTGTCATTACTGGATCGGAGAGTACCTGTGCACTTGTGATTTGGATAAATATCGGCAAAGTGCTTCCCACAGATGTTACACCAATTTCTCCCCCTCCCCCCGGCCCCCAGCATGGCATGAGATGGCCTGTGTCCTCCAGCCCTTGCCAACTCCGCATGTTAGCCAGTATTCTATCTTCACGAGCTGGACGGGAAAGAAAGGGTATATCTTTGTAGTCGTAACTTACGTTTCTCTCATTCTGAGTGAGGTTGACTATCTTTTCCTGTGTTTAGGAGCCATTTTTATTTCTTCTGCTGTGGAAAGAATTTCTTATTCTTTGCCCATTTTTCTCTTGGGTTGTTGCCCTCCTGCTTACTCGTTGGCTTTGTGTATCTGGATAATTACTTTGTGGTTTGTAATATATGTAGCAAATATTTTTGTCCAATTTGGCAATTTTATTTTACATTGTGGGGATTTTTATTTTGCTCTCCGAAATTTTAAAAATTTCTCTGTCGTTAAATTTAACCAGATTCATCCATCATTTCATTTATGCCTTCTGATGTCTGTTGTACTTTAATCTCTGTTTTAAGGCAGGCTCCAAACTGGAAGGAAAAAGCTTTGGGTTGAGAATCGGATCTGAGTTCGTAGCCAGCAAACCCCTTCCTTCTTTGAACCTCACTTACACCTTCTGTAAAAGGAGCGGGTTGGACTTCATTCATTCATTCATCAGCACTGGGTCGGGTGCTGGGAACACAGAGATGAATGGTGGGGCCTTGTCTTCATGGTCCAATAGTGAGAGAGACACATCCCCCAAGAGTGAAATGCAGTGTGCTGGGGCTATGGTGGAGGACCCAGTGTGCACTGAGGGGGCATCTAATACAGCCTCAGGAAGGGGAGGAGGGGGTGTAGGTGTAGGAGGTGAAACAAGGTATTTCAAGGGAGGTGAGATCAGGCTGAGTCTTGATGGAAAGGAGTTATCCTGGCAAAATAATGGAGTGGCGTGAGGCTGGGTAGGGTGGGTGACAGAGGGACAGCATTCAAGGTGGAAGGAGGACCTGCCGCAGCATGAGGCACTGGAGGGGAATAAGAAATCAACATGATCTCTGGGGTTGGAAAGCCCCGGGGGCCTCACCCAAGTCACATCCCCCTGCCTCCCCTACATGTTGGCAAGAATGCACTGCTGGCGGGCATGTAAAATGGTACAGGTGCATCTTAAACGTTCTCACCACAGAAAAGGAATGATGATTACCTGACATGCCCTAGGTGTTAGCTAGAGCTAAGGTGGAAGTCATATTGCACTACATAAGTGTGTCAAAGCAACACATTACATACACCTCAAAGATACACAATGCTATGTGTCAATTATGTCTCAATAAAAGATGGCACAGTTGCTTCAGGGAACATTTTATTTATTATTTATCTGTGTGTTAATCCTCACCCCAGGATATTTTTCCCCCCATTGATTTTTAGAGAGAGTGGAAGGGACGGGGAGAGACTCAGGGAGAGGGAGAGAAACATGAATGTAAGAGAGATGCATCAATTGGTTGCCTCCCACACACACCCCAACAGGGAATGAGCCTGTAATCGAGGTATGTGCCCTGACCGGAATCAAACCCGGGACTCATCAATCTGCAGCCAACGCTCTAACCACTGAGCAACCAGTGAGGGCTTTCAGGGAACATTTCAGCAACATTCAGCGAAGTTGTGAGTGTATATCCCCTTATCATCCAATAATCCTACCCCCAGATGGTGGAATTACCTGTGCAGATAAACACACACGAGGAGACGTGTATAAGAAAGTCCATAGCAGTAGTGTTTGTAATATGATGGAAACTTCACTTTCCAATCACGGAAAGCTATTATGGCTATTTGCACCATAGAGTACTGTCGTTAAAACATAAGCCACACAGCCCTGTTCATCAACAAAGACAAACCCCCAAAATACAGTGAGAGAAAAAAAAGTGCCAGAAGAGTACATGCGGCGTGCCAATGTGTGTATGGGGTTTAGAGGCATGCAGTGGTCCCACACTGTGTTAGAGACACATCCTCACCTAAGGAACACACAGAGTCTGCGTGTGAGTGGGCACTCCACGTCCCCCAGGGCTGCCTCTTGGGCATGGCAGGGGGGAGGACTGGAGAGTATATGAGAGCTCTGGCTGAATTGGTATTTTCTTCCTTAAGTCAGGAGGCGTGGGGAGAGCACATGCTTGTTTTTCATGTTATTCTTTTAAAAAAATGAAAAAAATGTATCTCTTTTACCCAGTATTTCCCCCCATTGTCATTTCAATATGTAATCCATGTAAACATTATTAATGAAGTATTTTGCATTCCTTGGTCTAAACTAAGTACTGGCAATCGGTATTTTACACGATGAGACACCTCGGTGGGGGCAACCGCCCTTCAGGAGCTCGCTGGCCACACGTGGCTAATGGCTGTTACATTGTACGCTGCAGGTTAACACGCCTCCGGTAGAGGTCATCTCAGGTGACCTCTACGGTTGCAAGCATAGTTGAACATATATGTGAAATGTGGCCTCTCTCTCCCTCCCTGCAGAACCGGCTTCCCAGGCCCACGTGGACCTCATGGAGATCATTGGTCTCCCGCTGTCCCCATCCGTGTCCTTTGTCCCAGGCTACGGTGGCTTTCCAGCCTACAGCTTCGGGCCTGGCGCCAACGTGGGCCGCCCGGCCAGCGTCCTCATCCCGCCCACCTTCTTCCGGGACTTTGCCATCAGTGTCATCGTGAAGCCCAGCAGCGACCGAGGCGGCATGCTCTTTGCCATCATGGATACCGACCAGACGGTCATCCACCTGGGCCTGCAGCTCTCGGCCGTGGAGGACGGCCACCAGCGGGTCATCCTCTACTACACAGAGCCCGGCTCCGCCGTGTCCCGGGAGGCTGCCGCCTTCTCCGTGCCCGTCATGACCCACAGGTGGAACCGATTTGCTGTGTTGGTCGAGGGCGAGGAAGTTATCCTCCTGGTGGACTGCGAGGAGCACAGCCATGCCCCCTTCCAGCGGTCCTCCCGGGCCTTGGTTTTCGAGCCCAAAACCGGGCTCTTCGTGGGCAGTGCAGGAGCCAGGAAGCTGGAGAAATTCATCGTGAGTCCAAGCCCTGCAGATCAGGGAGGCCGCTGGACACTGTGTAGCAAGCATGAGTGAATATGCTTGTTATTATTTTATCCCTATGTCCTCCAAGAGGCATGCATGCACCGTGGGAAAAACGCTAGGCTGGAACCCAATACCTGGATCCCAGTCCTGAGTGTGCATGATATCTTGATGGGTTAGAGTCTAACCCAGTGGTCGGCAAACTCATTAGTCCACAGAGCCAAATATCAACAGTACAATGATTGAAATTTATTTTGAGAGCCAAATTTTTTAAACTTAAACTATATAGGTAGGTACATTGTTATTAACTTAATTAGGGTGCTCCTAAGGCTTAGGAAGAGCCACACTCAAGGGGCCAAAGAGCCGCATGTGGCCCATGAGCCGCATTTTGCCGACCATGGGGTTAGACAGTCGTGGGTCCCCTGAGCCTCTCTGTGTTCTCTTACTTGGAAGTGGGGAGAAGATGCCCTACGTCATGGGGTGGTAGAGTCAACCGCGATGGCCTGTGTGAAGGCACTTGGTTCATTTATAAGAAGAGGAGGGTTTGCCAGAGCCTTCGGTGGTGTGTGTCTTTGGAGAGGATGGCCGATGCAGTGATCTCTGCAGAGGGTGCCACAGGCTGGAATGCCTGAGAGAGAGAGCTTCTCTCTCTCCTTTTTGACAGTGTGCCCTGAAAAAACATCAGAAAACTGACTTTACCGTCAGAATGGGCGTTAATGAACAAGCCAGTCTAAAAAAGCCCCTACGTTATCTAGGCAGCCCGTGGACTGCCTTTGGGCTTACTGCTGCGAGACAGGACCGTGGGGTGGAGCTCGGGTTTATCTGTGGTGTGCTGGAAGACTGAGATTTTTAAGAAGTGAAAATCCAGTGAACAACTTTTAGACCCTCGCTCTGGGTGGGGTGTGGAGAATGAGGTGTCAGGCGTGGGGAGAGGAGGAAAGTGTGGAGGGAGGGGGGCGGGCTGGCAGCTCTTCTTGGGGCGCGGCTTCCAGCCGAGAAGCTTCCGGCCGCAGGGGGAAGACCCGTCTGGAGAGGGAGGCTGCATTTAGGGGCTGCCCCTGACAAGTTGGAGACCTGGGGGCAGCTAGGAGGCCCCTGTGTGAGTCTGTGCTTTGAACACAATACTCCCCAAGGGGCTCTGCAGACAGTGGGGCTCAAATTACATTGGCTCAAGCAAAGACCACCCCCCTCCCCCCCCAAATGAGCGCGGGGTGGCTTGGTTTACTTGTCACGGCCAATACTGCCCTGTCACCGGTTCTTCTCCGTTACAAAACCAATCATGTTTCCACTGATGGTTGTCCTATAAACGTGCAAGCGGTGGCTTCTGACCCCTCTGCTTTCCTCCAGGGCTCCATACAGCAGCTCACCATCCACGCCGACCCCAGGGCTCCTGAGAAGCGATGTGAAGCCGAAGAATCCTCGGTGAGCTCCCATCCTCCCTTACCACCCACCCCCCCATCCACCCCATACCCTGCAGCCCCAACAGCCCGTCTGCCAGGGCAAGGCTGGGTGCCCAGGCAATTCTTCATCCCCAACGTCATGGAGCCTCTAAAATCTCTCACTTGGCAAGTGCTGCCTCAAGTCCTATTTTGGGCTTTTGGGCTTTATTTTATTATTTTTAAGAGCTGCAGCCATCTCTTTGGTGTTTGTGGGGGGCTGTGTGTTTTTCTAAGGTGTTAGGTGTTGCTGCAGCTGAGGCAGTCAGTGGCCTGGTTTCCAGACTTCCTGCCAAGAAAGGGTGTCAGGATTCTAAAATCGAAGCTAAAACTCTAAGACACCCTGGGTGTAAATTCCTCTAAGAGTGAACCTAAATTTAGCTTTTATGCTTGGCAAATGAATCAGTTCCTGAGTTGGAAGTGGGGTGGTGGGCCGGGGAGAAAAAAGATAGGTCCTTTCCCCCTTCCTCCCTCTGTTCCTTCCTCCCTGCCTTCACGGGATACTGAGCACCTGCCAGGTGGCAGACCTGGGGGGATGCTGGAGATGAAGGGATAAACCACACCTACCCCCCAGCTCCAGGGATGGTGCAGGAAGGTGAGGGAGGAGGAGCCAGAGCAGGTCAGGGAGGAGTCAGTGCCTGACCAACGACAGGCGAGTGGTGGTGAGAGGAAGAGGAAAAAGCCTTTCAGGCAGAAGCCATACATGATGCAGGATGCCCATAGCATGATGCAGGGCGTGGCAGAGCCCTAGTCTGTCTGTTCCCCTTTGGGTGGTATCAACCCTCAAACAAAACACGAGTTGATTTCATTCCGTTAGTAAAGACGGCCGCCGCTTAGCTGGAAAGCCTCCCCTGGTGGGGTTGGCTCTGTGAGCATGTCCGCACTCCCGGAGGCCGAGGCCGGGTCCAGGCCCGGCATGTCTGTGAGCTGAGAGGAGGGAAGCGCACGTGTCCATGTGCCTCCCTCTGTGCATTGCTGTGACTATTGAAAAATATTGAAAAAGAAGTAGACACAAGGCAGGAGTCCACAGCACCCAGGCTCCTTGACTGCCATTAGGTGGCTAATTATGAAGGTGCGGTGGCAACAGGATGGCATACTTCCAATGTAACTGCTCCCAATGTAAAACTCCCGTGAGGAGCTGTGCAAAGATTGTGGGTGCCTTTTGAGGGAGATTGAAGGGAACCTGGACAAAATGCAAGTAGGTATGAAAGAGAGACTGTAAATTGATTGTTGTGGGGTTTTGTTTGTTTGTTTGTTTGTTTAAACAATGTGGAAGGAAACAAAAAGAATAACCAAGCATGTGTACCATACACAGGCTCTCCTCAATTTCATTCTCCCTGTCTCTGTCTGTCTGTCCCTCTCTGATACACACACACACACACACGCACGCACGCACGCACGCACGCACGCACGCAGAGTCCTCCACCGGAGGCAGTTTCCCTGACTTTTTGTTTGTTTGTTTAAACAATGTGGAAGGAAACAAAAAGAATAACCAAGCATGTGTACCATACACAGGCTCTCCTCAATTTCATTCTCCCTGTCTCTGTCTGTCTGTCCCTCTCTGATACACACACACACACACACGCACGCACGCACGCACGCACACACGCACGCGGAGTCCTCCACCGGAGGCAGTTTCCCTGACTTCCCAGTTGTAAACTGTGCCCTCTACCTGGTGTCATTTGCCTCCACACAGGCATCAGGAGAGGCCAGCGGGCTTCAGGAGACAGATGGAGTCACGGACGGAGTCGCTGAGATCTTAGAAGCTGACACCTACACTCAAGCCCCGGTGAGTCCTGGGGTGCCACCAGGTCATCTGGGCCAGCTGTTAGAGGCCTGAGAGTTCCTGGAGCGTGCCTAGGTCTGACATCTTTGTCCTCAGATCGGTGACTTCCATCGTCAGCTCATCTGGGGAGAGCAGGAAGCTACTGGCCAACAGGGCATTTTGCAAAACCCCAGTGCATGGGAACACCAGTGACCTGATTGCTCCCTGTGCTGCAGAATGAGAAGGCTGTCCAGAGGCAAACGTTGTGCTCTGCTGCCTCCCAGCTCTGTGACCTTGGGGAACTTGGTCAGCCTCTCTGAGCCTCAGCTCCTCGTCCATAAAATAACAAGCCTATCTGGTGGGGTTGTTGAGAGGGTTAGATGAGGTAGTGCAAGGCCAGGTCTCAGACCCACGCGTGGCATGAAGGCTGTGTCCCTGAGTGGCGGCTATGGCAACATCTGCTCACTCGGGACTCTGGCTATGAGAAGGAAGTCAGGGCCCCCACTCCTGCAAGTTGCTACGTCCTCCCAGGAGCTAACTTCTGACCCCATGGGAAAGTCAGCCATCCTCCCAGAGGCCAGGCCTCCGCCCACCTGGGAATGCGCCCCGTGTCTCAGACAAGGAAGTGGTGTCAAAAGCACTGAGTCAGACTGTGGAGACACCAAGGAGCCCGCTTTAATGAAAAAAGCCAGCCGTGTCTGAGTCACTGAACACAGAAGCCCAGCAATCTCAACTGGTCTGGCTCACTCTACAAACTCATCTCTGATCGAAGAGCGGAGAGACGGAAAGAAGGCAGAGGCTATACCTTATACACCTCTGGCGACAGGTGTGGGTGGGGAAGGACGGGACCATAGTCTGTTGTGCTGGAGGGACTTAACGGTCACCTCTTAAAGGTGCCCTTTCTACAGATGGGCAAGCTGAGGCCCAGCAAGGGGCAGGAAACTGGCTCTCAGGTGCATGGGTGGAGCTGAGGCTAGAGCACAGGTCCCCTATGTCTTAGCCAGGGTTCAACCCATGCCTTTGAGCTGCTGGCCTGGGTGATGTTGCCAGTTCTTGAGCAGCTTTGATGCAGGAAGTCAAGGGTCCAAAGTGGCCACCTCGGCTCTGAGCAGTGTTGCAATCCTGTGTGCCCATCAGCCCTTGGCCACTCCATCAGTATGTCCAGGGCACAGAATGGTGGTCTCTTGAGCCTTCTAGCCTGATGCTGCCCCCCCCACCCCCCCAGTGCACCAGTTCACAGCTAGGAGTGAGGCCAACTCAGGCAAAGATGCCAGTAACCCAAGGTGGCCCTGGGAGAGGGGAGCAGGCTTTGAGAGCATGAGATGATCAGGGGGAGGGGCTGGTCAGGGAGATTTTCCTAATGGAGAGGGCATTGGAGATGGGCAGCTTTGGACAGAAGTAGAGAAAGGGCAGGGGAGGGAAGAGGACCAGCATTTTTCAACACTGGCTGTGTGGCTGGTGCTTTGTATATATGACTTCATCTAACCCTGCAAGGGAGATGGATGCTCAGAAGGATGGGGTGGCTTTGCCAGGGTCACAGGGTGGTGGAGTCAGGACCCAGCTGGGCCTCCTGTCCTGGGCCAGGGTAGGCACTGAAGGGCAGATGTGGGTGTGCATCGCAGCGGGGAATGAGAACGGAATAAATCCCCAAAGTGTCTGGAGAGGTGGAAAAGGCATTTGCTGGGCTCTGTGGTCTCTGGGGCACCCAAAACACTTTCCTTCCCAGATTCCCCAACCTGCTCTCCTCAGTGGTTTTAAGGGAACCAGTATAGATCGGAGTTCCACCAAGTGTGAGTTCAACTCTGCCACTTACTGGTTGTTGACCGGGAGCCAGTGATGTCAGCCTCGGTTTCCTCCTCGGTTAGAATGGCGCAGGCGGCTTCACGGGGTTAGTGAGAGAGTGGGATGAATGGACCCGTGGGAGACTCACGGGCTGGTACTGGCACAGGCAGTTCTCAGTGAACTTGGTGGATGTTCCTATTGACTAGAGGCTATTTGTGAGGGTTGAGGTGATGTGTTAGAGGGCCCGTTTCTTTTGGGACCCTCCTCCCCATGCCAAACCCTTGTGGCTGCCCTTAGTCCTAAAGAATTGTGGCTCTGGGCCTGGAGGTCCTGGAGCTGCAGTCCTGAGGCTCAGATGCCTATCCTGGGTATCAGAACCTCCTGCGCTCCCGCAGGGCGCTCCCTCCCTCCAGCCTCCTTTGCAGGGCCGGGTTTTTCCATTCGTTCCCCCAGAATGCACTGAGGTGGAGAAGCGTGCAGCATTTTGTCCAAGACTGCCCAGGGAGGAGGTGGCAGGGCGAGTCCCCCGGGGAGGGACCAGAGCGCCCTCGGTCATGTCACCCTGAGCTGGGACTTTCCCTTTCACCATCTCCTGGAGGAGCTCCAGGGCTGCCCCCTCCAAGTTGGGGGAATTTCCCTCTCGCTCTCAGACGTTCCCCTCCCTCTCTGTCTGGCTTCTCTCTGGGAATGAATATTACTTCCCTGTCTTCACCCTTTCCAACTGCCACCCTTCAAGACAGAAGCCATGACCCGAGAACTGCATCATGGCCTTAAAGAGCCAGCCCCTCCTCACCTCCTTCCCCATTTAAGGCAGGAGTCCCTGCTACCCCATTCTTCCCCCTGCTAAGTCAGCTTCTGCTGACACACCTTTCCATTTCTGGAAAGCTCTATCTTATGCCGAGTTAGAATTAATATTCCTGTAGTGCTCAGCGTTGTGTGTGTGTTCGGAGGGGGAGGGGGGACGACAGTGAGATGGGGAGGTCTTTAAAAAAACTCTTGCCTAGGCTGATAGAAGGTCGGAAGTGCGGTCCAAGAAGCCGTACTTACCAAAAGCTTTGCAGGTGATTCTGACCCACAGCCAAGATCTCTCTTCCAGCCACACCCAAATTCTCACGGTTCTCCAAACACACCCAACACGTTCCCCTCGTCCACGCCTTCACTCCTGGGTTCTGTCTGCAAAGAGAGCCCTTCCCGCCCCCTCTGTGCCTGGCCAGTTCCTATTTGTCCTTCAGGACCCGTCCACACGCAGCCCCTCGCTGGAGGCCATGGCCAACTTCCCTCCCCGCACTTGGCTCTCACTTCTGCTGTCCCATGTGTCACATTCAATCACAGTTTGTTGTGTCTGGGTCTGGGTCTGTGTGTCCCCGTAGCTCAACAGTTTGAGGACAGCCACCCTATTTTAGTTATTTATTTCCATTTCCCCAGGGATTAACCAAGGACCTGGCACATGGTAAGGCCTCAGGAAATACGTGTTGAATATGAGTGTGGGCTCAGCAAATCACCACACTTTTAATAAAAAAAAGTCTTAAGACTTGACATTCCTGTTTTGTCACTGACCACACTGGCCTCCATCCACCCTAACCCCTGAAAACCAACCGCCAAGGGTCAGCTCCCCAGACTCATGCTCTGCCCTGAGCGGGGATTTGTGACCCCCTTTTCAGGAGATTCCAAAAGAGGTTTATGGTTGACAGACTGGAGTCGGTGATTTCATATAACTCAGCCTTTGCCACCTGGAGTTACAGAGCTCAGCCCACCCTCACCTCGATTATTGTCCTGCGTTTCCTGCATCCTCACCTGCCCTACCCGCCTCGTCTCAAAGCCCAAGTCCCTGGTAAAGAGGCTTCACTTCCAGCCACCGGCCTTGCTCCAGGCTGGAGACGGGATTTCCAGAGACCATCAGGGGATGCGGCAGGAAGAGGAGAGGAACTGCCTACGACAGGGTCTTTACTCCCCTGCTGGGTCACCAAGCAGCTGGGAGGAATGGGGAAGTCCTAAAGGCCTTCACAGCCCCACCTGGGGTGGTCCCTGCTCTCTGCCCCACAATGCCACCCTGGTTCCTGCCTCCCTGGGCTTCTTCAGTGCAGCCTCCTGGTCTCCTGGCCTAACCTCAACTCCCCAAACCCGTGCTCTCATTGGCACTAGGGTGAACTCTCAAAAGTACACACCTGCCCATGCCACTCCCCCGCCTAACACCCCACAGATGGCCCAGGCCCAGGCAAGACTTCTCACCAAAGATCCAGCCCCCTCCCTCTCTCCGCCTCCTGGCTCTGTCCCCCTGCTTCTGTCCTGGAATCCTCACCAAGCACAGGTTGTCAGATCCAGACAATGCTGTGTCCTTTTCATTCCAATGCCTTCTTCCATCCTTGGTTTTGGAAGCTCTTTTCATTCTTCAAGGCCTAACTCCTTGAAGACTTCCAGCACCACCTTGTTTATTGTTCTGGAGATTTTACAATACAACAAATGATATTTTTTTAGCACACAAATATTTCATATTCATTATTTTAAAAACCTACAACTGCAGATAACTAAAAAGATAAAACAAACATCTTTAATACCAGAGAAATCACTATCGAGGTGTTGTTCTTTCTCAAACTTTAGGATTCTAGTGATATTGACACATTGATGGGCTCATACTATGGCCCTGTGCTGAGACCTCCATGCACTTATACCCTGTAAGTAGTTATCATTGGCCCCATTTTACAGAGGAGGAAATGAGGCCGAGTGAGGTTATATGATGTGCCCAATATAACAAAGCAAATAAGTGGAGAGCTGAGATTTGACCCAAGATTGATTGTTAGAACTGAACCGTTAGATTCTAAGAACCATTAGATCCATAAGAACCCTCCTTGTTCTGATGGCCCATAGATTCATTGTTTATACACTAGATTCTGACATTAAGGAAATAATTTTCTGTTATTAGTCAGGATAGGTTAGTGATGGCTGCAGTCACAAATTAATCCGGGAGTCTTAGTGCCTTAATGGTTTCTGGTTCACATCACAGGTCCAACAATGGTCAGCCGGATCCTTCCTTTCATCCCCCAGCCCCTTGAGCTCCGAAAGGGATGAGACTGTGTGAACACTGGCAAGCCCTGTCTCTCCAGAGCCTGGGTCTGGGGATGATGTCATGACCTTTGCTGACCCCCCACCCCTACCAATCAAGATTTCTGCCTGGATCTCTGAACTGCTCTGTGTTTCCCACTGTTGGGGTTTTTGTTTGTTTCTTTTTTCCCTAGTTGGTGGAGGCATTAACTGGCTTTGGAAAAGCTACACAGAAGCTGAAGTGTCCAAGAAAGGGAGCCACACCCATCTCTTATACTCAGAGGCATTCATGGCCAGTGCACATCTGGGATTGGATTTAGACAGCGCTCACTGACTGCAGCCTACTTCATTCATTTGTGTGTTCATTTACTCATTCATTCCCTGATCTAATAGATCTTTACTGACCACCTCCCTCCTCTCTCCCAGCCTGGGATACGGAAATGTGGTCTCTGTGCTCAGGGAGCTTCAGCCAAGTCTGGCCGTCTTGCTGTAAACAGAACAGAGTTAAATGACTCCTACATGCACCTCTTTCAGGGTCTGGCAGGTTGGCCAGGTACACAATAGGCAGGTCTAAGCTTTCTTCTGGGTTTACTCAGAACTTTGTGGATATATTATTTTCTCCAGTGATATTATTCACTGCCCTTTCCCCCTGCTTTCCTGCCAAGTAAATGTTTTGGGGTCCCTTTTTTTCTTCTTTTTCCTTCAGCCTAAAGAAGCAAAAGTTGAACCCATTAACACACCTCCAACTCCAACCTTTCCCTCTGAGGATTCGGAACTTTCTGGGGAGCCTATACCTGAGGGGACCCTGGAAACCACCAACCTGAGTGCCATCCTGAACAGCAGCGCTGAGCAAGGCAAGTCCTGGGTGTGCCTTTCGCCTACGGTGGTTTTCTATTGAGTGATGACTGTGCGTCAGCCTGGGTGACGTAGGGAACATGGAGCACCTCATCTAACCTTCTGCCTTTGACAAACAAGGTGGGGAAATCAAGTCACCCAGCTGAGGCTCTTTGCCGTGTAAATGGCAGAGATGGCTTTTATTTTTGGATAGCTGAACGTTCAGTCCCCAGACTACCCCTCCAGAAGGATCTGGGGTTTAACAGAAAAGCTTGTAACAATTGTTGCTGCTTATTAAGTACCTACTGTGGGCCAAGTGTTTACATACGCCATCTCCAAGCCCAACCACACATCTCCGAGTTGCCGTGATTCGCTAGTATTTTACAGATGGAAAAACCAGTGCTTGGAAAGGTAAGTGACGTGCCCAGTCACACAGCTCATGAGTGGTGGGACAGAGCCGGTGCCAGGCCTCACTCCAGCATCCCCACCCCTCCCAGCCTTGGCCACAGACTCCCTGATTCTCAGAGGGTCAGGCCATCTAAACTCCTGTGTGGCACATGTGGGAAAACCAACTGATCACCAGAGAGGGGCAGGCCCAGCAGGTCAGCAGCAGGCCCTGGGGCAGTTTGGCCTCTTGGCTCCCCATCTAGGACTCCGGTTCCTACCCAGCGATACAAAGGAGCCCTGGTAAAAACCCAACTTCTGACACGATCCCCAGGCAGCAGCTAGTCGTGTGCTCAAGGCCCGAGATCGGCCAGCGTGTTCTGCCCTTTATCAGAGGGATAACTGTTTCGGACCAAAGTGAGAGCCAACGCCAGAGCACTGATTTTTAGGTTCAAGGCCTAAAAACAACCCAGATGCCCACAGTAGGGACTGGCTGAGCAAATTATATTTCATCCATATGTGCAGCCCTGACCTTGGTGATGCAGAAGATTGAATGGCCCAGGGACATGCTCAAGGTGTGCTCCACTGAAAAGCACCTTTCAAAACTGTATGTGTGCTGTGACCCTAACTTTGAATATGTTATTTATATTTACATCTACCCATAGAAAACAATGTATGTGTGCGTACATGTGTGTGTGCTAGAATAATATACGACAAAATGCTATGAGTAATATTTTCTGGGTAGTAGGATTGCGGGTGGTTTTAATTTTTTTGTTTGTAGTTCAGCAGTTTACATGTCTTTTACAATCTTACATATCACTATTCTTTCTACTTCTGCCATCAGTAAATGAATGTTATTTTAATAACTAAACTTGGGCAGTCTGTGGGTGAGAGAAGGTATGCAGTCCTGAATAGAAAAAACTGTCTGATAATTTAATAAAGTCATAACACAGCCAAGGAGTCAGGGTGTTGCTGTGGAAAGACTGTGGGGCTGGCCGGGAGCAGACAGTTTGGACGAGATCCCTCTCAGCCACCTATTGGCTGCCGGGCCTGGGCGAGTTGCTTAACTTTCCCAAGCTTCAGATTTTTAACTGTCTGTCCACAATCTTCTGTAATGAGAGGATGTGGAAGTGGTGCATGGACCGCAATGCTGTTCTCCTGGGTGGAATTGGGATTTCTGAGGACAGGCAAGGAGGGGGCAGAGGCTGTGGGGCCCTGGGGTGAGGGCCTGTCCTAGACTGAGGGGTGGGTTCAAAGGAGGTGGGATTCAAATCCAGACAGGGACCCAGATCCAAGCACAACTTGCCTGTTCCCTGTGATCAGCCAGACGCCTTCTCTGGCAAACAAAAGGCCAAACAAAGGCAATGGGACTGGCTGAGACGTTGCCATTCTTGTTGGATAGAATGTTCAGCTGGTGAAGGAAATGGGCCTGAACCCAGAGAGCCCGGTCCCAGGCTAGGGGAAGCCACCCAATAGTTTTATTCAAGTTTCCCTGACACCATCTTGCCCCAGGGCACACACTACCCTCACCTCCATCCTCCAAGAGGTGGGGACTCTGAGGCCTGGGGTAGCTGCTTGCACAGTACCCCCTGGTGGTAGCAGCTGGAAGGATGCATGAGAGTTCCAGGATGTTTGTGTGCAAAGGATGCCTTGAATAATGCAGCACCTACCTGCCCCCTCCCCTCCACACACATACACACTGTTCATACTATGGGGCATGCATGCACACAGCATGTGTGGAAATGTCTGGGCACAGGACAGATCGACCTGGCTTCACGGGCTTCTTCCAGCCACTCCCTCTCTGTGGGGCCTGTTTCTCCTCTGCAGGTGGGGTTAATAAATAAGGTGCTGACATGTGGGTCAGAGCAGGACACACACGAGTGCATTGATAGTGGGGAGACTGAGAATGTGGGGTTCTGTCCTGACTCTGCCCACCAGCTTTGAAGTGGTGGGAAGGTCCTAGTAGGTAGTTGAGATAGGCTAGTGGGAAGATTAAGTGAGGAAAGGCATGAGACATGCTTAGCCCCGGGTCCAGCCTGTATGTAACACACATGTATTCATGTTATATAATTTCTTTTTCTTTGCTTTAGGACTCCGTGTGTTTTTTAAATTGCAAAAGAAATATGTACTTGTGGTAACAGTTTAATCAATGGAGAGTTGCATGAACCAAAAAAATAGTAGTTTCTTCAGGAGGAAACTGATATTAAATATTGAGGTTTAGCCAAGCGTGTGTTGTTTATCTATACACACACATATCCATATATATCCATATATTATATGTACTCTATAGTGACTATATTAATTATATGATGTTGATAAAACATGAATACTCATATGTAATTGTTTTCCCTTTACAAATATAGAACCACACTGACAATGAGGGAACATTTATCCATTGCTAACTCTGTGCCAGGTGCTGTCCTTGATGCTTTCCTTGTATTAATGTATTTAATCCTTGTAGCACATAACGAGATGGGAATTATCCCCAGTTTACAGATGAGGAACCTGAGGCACAGGCTAACGACTTGCCAAAGCTGGGTTCCAGCCCTGCAGTTGTGGCAGAAACTGTGGTAGAAACCACATGTACCAGCAATGCTGCTTTCTGTTTGCTCAGCCAGCCCCTACTGTGGGCGTGTGGGCTGATTTTTGACATTGTACCTAAAGCTCGGTGCTCCAACGTTGGCTGTAACCTTGGTCTGAAATGGTTACCCCTCTGAAAAAGGGCAGAAAATGCAGGCCAATCGCAGGCCTCGGGCACATGTAATACTGCCTTGGATTTTTTCTCTTAATCCTGTATCCTGGGCATCTTTTCAAGCCAGTCGGTGAAGAGGGAGCTCTTCTTTTTCAAGACCACAAAGTGCAGTTATTAATTATAGAACGCCTGCTTCCCCAGGGTCTGGTGACATCCTGAATGACACTCTGGAGGAGGTCGATGCTATGAATGGGGTCCCCGTCACAGACCCTGGCTCCGGAGATGGGGCCTTCCTTCATGTCACTGAAGAGGTGAGTGAATGGTGAATTTCATTTGCTATGTCAGTGGTAAACATGTTTGCTTATTTTAGACCTGATGGTGACTTGCATTGGGCACTCCAGGGGGCCATGAGGGTTTTAGTTGAATATGGTAGAGACTGCCTCCCTCCTGCTGGGACAGGGGCAGCAGGATCCCAGGGCTCCAGAAGCTCTCCAGGGATGCACCAGGGCGAGACGCAGCTGGTCCTCACACCTGCCTGGCAATGAGTGCTGGGTCCTCACCCTGGCACCTGCCTCCCTCCCACCCAATTGGGAAGATGCACAGCCTCTTCCGTTCTCTGAGCCAGAATCAGATTAGCTACATGCGGGTCCACTCTGTGGTTGGGTAATTGGCTTTTAGACCCGCAAAGGCACTTTTTAAGATGCTGGACACAGTTGGATACCAAAGTTAAGCACATGTATTTTTCTCACAATGGCCCACAGGGTCAGCTCATCGTTTTCGCTGTCCTGGGATGAAAATGCTCATACTCTCCAAGTCACATCTGATAGTGGCCTATTTTCAAAGCCCAGTTCAGTGGAGTATAAAAAATGCAGTCCCTTTGTCTCCCAAATTCCATGGAATACGTATCCAGCTCACCAAATGGTTTGTAGTGAGCAGAAGGGAGGGGGGAACCATTTAAAATTCTCTCCAAAGGAATTCTCACTCTCCCAATAGGAGGTAGTTTCCTTTTCTTATATAGCCCGGAGGCAGGGGGAGAGGCTGATGCCGGTGGAACTGATTTCACTTCATGGTCTCTCAGCGCATCCCACATAAGTGGCCTGGCTCCTTTTAGCATGTGGAAGGCACACAGTGATGGTGGAATTGTACTTAACTTGTACAGTTAATTAATTAGTTGTATTTAATTATAAAGCCCTTTGGGACTTTAGCTGAAGTTGTGTCAGAAAGAGTCTCATTTTACTAGTAAAATCTGTAGCTTCATCTTCTCTCCTGTGCGTGTATGCGTGCGTGCGTGCGTGTGTGTGTGTGTGTGTGTGTGTGTGTTGGGCAATAATTCTGCAAGGACATGATATGTTATATGAAAAGAAGGTTCTGCTGTCAAATAAGTGTAGGAAATGCTCCACTTATTTCTTCCTTACAGGCTCTGAGAAATCCTGCAACAAGGAAATCTATCTAACCTTGATAAGCTTTCCGTATCCAAAAGAACTACACGTTTGCAAACGAAACAAAACAACCCCCAATTAAAAACAACCACCACCTTGGGAAACTGAGGTCAAACATAGTCAGTTTGGTAGCACGGCAGTCGATGCTGCTCTACTTCCATTTCCTGCATCTGCTGTGTAACCTTCAGGGAAGGGTGTGCGTCCGAAGGAAAGTAAGTCACAGAGAAAGAGAGGGAGCAGGTGCCAAGGCTGAGAAGATGACGGAATTGCTGCCTGCAGGTCGTGCAGCACTGTCATGGGCAAAGACTGTCCTCTTGATCCTATGGCTTCTGGATGGGCACGTGGGAAGGTCGCAGGGAGGCAGATGCGTCCAGATAGAGGTGTCGGAGCGGGAGCAGGCTGGCTCAGGAGGCAGTGGTCTCCCGGCCACTGGTGCCTGCAGACAGGTGCTGTGCAGTCTCTTCTGGGATGCTGTGCTTCTGGGACTATCGTAGGGCTGGGGTGAGGTCCAGATAAGTAAGTTCTCAGAGGCAAAGAGGCTACAGAAATGCAGGTTGATAGAGAGGTACGGACATTCTGTTCTCTCCAGCCGCAGGCATGTTGATCAGAGCTGTGGGCCCACTGACGTGGTCCCTCGTGATGTCTTTGTTTCAGAGCCCACACACTGAAGAAGATTTGGCAACGACAGTAGCAGCCAGAGAACCCAATGTGACCATCAGCACTGCCTGGGACGTCGAAGTGGCCGTCAGCACTGCAGGGGAAGCCGAGGGGGGCAGTGTGCCCACCGGGGGCCCGGCCCTCTCCATGTCCACCCAGGACCCGGGGGAAGGGGACACTCCAGTTAGTAGCTTGGAGTGCATGCTCCACTTCACCTCTTCCTGGGGGATGGTGGGCATCTCAGTGGAAGTAGTCGCTGTCAGAATGTGGATTACAGCCTGTGGGACCAAGTTTGAGTGATTTGGAGGCTGAGTCATCTGTTGACTCATTCAGCAGATGGTGGGTGCTGGGCACCAGGTCAATAGGGTAGACTGCTTCCTGGGGACAGAGGGTAAGAGGTGCAATAGGAGAAGCACGCGGGGCTCTGGCAGCACCCCAAAGGGGCCAGAACCCAGACTCAAAGCCTTCCTGGGGAGAGGATGCTGAAAGTGAGACCAAGGGGATGCTTAGAAGTGGCCTAGTAGATGGGAGTGGGGCAAGTGTTCCGGGAGGTGGGCCAGCAGGAGCAAAGGCCTGGAGCAGTGGTTCTCAACCTTGGCTGCACATTAGAACCCCCTGGGAATCGTTTTAAAATCCTGATTTCTGGGCCTCATCCTCTGGAAATTCTGTCTCTTTGTTATGGGGTGTGGCCACAACATTAGTAACAAAGAAACAGAATTTCCGGAGGGTGAGGCCCAGAAATCAGGATTCCCAGGTGATTCTAATGTGCAGCCAAGGTTGAGAACCACTGGCCTGGAGGCATCAGCACCAGCATACCAAGACCTGCTGGGTCAGGCGTGAGCGAGGAAAGGCAGGGAAACGTGGCTGAAGGGGCCTCGGAGTCTGAGGAAGCCATGAGAATGAGCCTGGGCGTGTTCAGCAGAAATGGGAAGTTGCTGAGGGTAGTAAAGAAGGAGGTGGTGTAGTCAGAGTAGGTTTTAGAAAGTTCGCCTGACCCTGAATGGAGAAAGGATGGGGGAAGCAAGCCTGGAGGTAGAGTGTGGTTCGGTGGCTGTGTCTCCTTCCAGGAGAGGGTGGTGTTGGCTCGCTCTGGGTTTGGTTAACAATGTGAGATCCTGCCAGGATACCCACTGAGTAAAGGATGGGAGAGCAGGGCATGAGCTGGGTCTGTCAGGGGGACCTTGGGGAGGGCAATGAGGGATGGAAGGCAGAGGGCACTAGGCTAGGAGAGTGAGGAGAGCAAGTGGTCAGTGAGGCCAGATAGCCCCTCCCCCTAGAAAGCTGTGCCTCCGGGACTGGGTTTTGTCCCAGCGCCATGATTTGGGCCCTCAGTGGAAGCTTCACTCTCCGGAGTAGTGAAAGGTAAATGGCAGCTGATGAGTGCCAGCCATTGAGGCACCATACTGGCCAGGGTGCTCACACCTTGGGTGGTGTGCAGGTCAAGGTTTCTGTGTGGGTGCCCCAGTCAGGGCAGTGGTATAAGACGAGGTCTGGGATGTGCAAATGCTTTGAAGCAACAGGACACAGGTGCAGGAGGGGTCCTGGCTGTCTGCTCCCTCCAGCCCTAGGGCTGTGGATCACTGAGCTGGTCCCCGTGATGTCTTCTATTCAGAGTCCAGATACTGAAGAAGGCTCAGCAGCGATATCAATGGAGGAGGCCGAGATGCCCAACAGCACTGACAAGGAAGCAGAGGCCAGCACAGTGCCCACCAGGGAAACGGCCCTCTTCATGTCCACGCAGGAGCCTGAGGAAGGGGTCAGTCTGGTAAGGGGCTGGAAAGTTGAAGTCATGGCTGGGAGCAGACGTTGCCCTCTCGAAGGGCCAGTCTTCATTCTGTGCAGCAAATCCAGAGGAGCCTGAATGGGTTGGGGGCACCTTCCTGACCAGATACTCCCTCCTGAGGGGATGTGTAGTGAAGCCCCTGCAGGTCCTTGGAGAGCCAGCTAGGGGGGTGAGTCAGGGACATGGGGGTGAGTCCCAGGGCTGGTACAGGGTCACCACCTCCACCAGCAGGGGTCAGGTCCAGGCAGGAGGTGCGCTGGGCCCTGAGTAGGAGAGGTGACAGGGCTCAACCATGGCCTGTTTCTGAGCATGCATACAGGTTGTCAGAGGGTGGTGGAGAGTTGGGGTGCAGGCAGGCCCCACGGGGTCCAAGAGCACAGCCAGGACTTCTCAGCCCTCTCCTTGGGGGTCATAGGGACTCTGTTCCCAGCTCCTAACGTCAGGACACTTGGCAAGCCTGTCCCTGTAATGTCCCTAGAATGAGTGTCCTACAAGTTCTTCAAACTCAGCAGACTTAAACCCAAACTCATTTCTGTTCCTCCTGCGTTCCCAGCTCAAATGAATGGGAGCATCATATCCAATCCTAATCCAGATCCTCTTCCCTCTTTCTTCCCTCCCACATCCCATCAACCACAAAGTCTTATTGATTTTTTTACCTCAACACAAGGTGGACCCCACCCCTTTAACCCTTCTCCAGTGCCAGGACCTTGCCCTGGACTGAGCCCCCCAGCCCCCGCCCAGGCAATGGCTGAGGTTCCAGCCTGGCCAACCCCATAAGCCTCTCTGATTCCTCCTGGTGGGGGCAGCCGTCCTGCAGACACTGCCACCCCACCTGGAACTACAAGGCTAGCAGGGTCTGGCCTGGCCAGCCTCACAGACAAGGTCTTGGGCCCCTCCCTTCCCAGCTCTTGGCCTCTCAGCCTTGCTGACCTTATAGCTCTTCCACATCCCCCTTCTTGCCTCAGAATCTTCCCATTCCATCTCCTCTCTGCCCAGAACCCTTCCCTCCCTCCTCCCCTCCTTAGTTCCTGCTTAGCCATCAGAGTTCAGCTTCAGCACCACTTTGTCTGGGAGATCCCCGCCCAGATTTGTGAAGTCTCCCCACAGCCACGTTCATGGTACCCACACTTCTCCTCGTAAGGTCTCGTCATAACTGTAATGAACAATAAACTTGGTGACTAGTTCATTTCTGGCTTCTCCCAGGCTGCAAGAGGCAGGGATTATATACATCTTGTTCATCAATCTGTCTTCATCCCTGCACATAGCGGGTACTTGATGCATATTTGCTGAGTGAGTTATTAGCAGGAGATGTCAGGCCATCACACACCCACCGCACTGGCCTTTGGAATCATTCCGCACATTTGCTCCCCGCCTTTCACCTCTGGCCTAATGTCAGCCGGTGAAACTCTACAGTGGGGAGGCTACGTCCTCACCAGCTGACAGCTCTGCACACCACTGGGCAGTTACATGGTCGATTTTGATGAACCAAAGGATCCCCATCACCTTCTTTCCCTTCTTCTTCTTCTCCTTCATCTCTCGACCCTCATCCCTCATCCCCGACTTCTTTAAAGGCAAAGCCCTTATCACAAGGTGAGACAACTGTAGGCACCAGGTCTCAGTTTTACCAAGTCTTGACTCGGTAGAAGCTAGAACTTACCCAGCAGGTCTGTGGAGGTGGCAGCTGTCCAGTGAGTGAAGATGTGCAGGCTCGGTGTGCTGGAGGGGACCCTGGGAGATGGAAGGGACCGTCTGAGAGGTCTTAGATGAGCAAGGGGAGGGGCGCTGTGGCCAGGCCAATATCTGATGGCCTGGCCGTTTTCTCCCTGCGGTCACGCACACCCTCCAGAGGCGAGGACGAAGTGGCAGGTCCCTCGCACCAATTTGTTTCAGGGTCCAGTCAGTGAAGGGAGTTTGACAACAGCAGCAGCTGCTGCAGAAATGCCCCTCAGCACCTGTGAGGACGAGGAAGAGGAAGAGGAGGCCAGCAAGGCTCCCACCGGTGGCCCCCCTCCTGGCACACCCACAGCAGCCCCTGAGCAAGCGGTCACGTTTGTAAGTGCCTCCCCCATTCTCTGTGGCTCACAGGAGGCAGAGAGGTCAGCGTCCTGAGCCAGGAGCAGCTGCCTCCTTCCCAGCCGCAAATGCCCATTCAGCTTGTCAGAGCGCCAAAGGGGGCGGGAGGCAGGGGGTGGCACTAACTACAGCTCCTGCCATGAAGGGAGCATGCAGAGGGGTCAGGGGAGCAGATATTTGTCTCGACCCCGCTACCTCGTAGCTTGTCCAGGAAGAACCTTCTCAGGCGAATGGCCAAAGCAGGAAGAGGTCACTGGGCACGATGGTTTAGAGGAGATGTATCTTTCAGAAGGGGAGTACGAGCTTCTGTGACTGTGCCAGAGAGTATGACAGTGGTGGGTAAGAAAGGGCTTGAAATTGGGCTAGTCAGTGCCATAGAAATGTCAGTCACCAAAACTCACAGGCAGGCAGCAGCGTGCACATTACATCACATTGATTCCTTTTGTGGGTTTTGCTTCCAGGGCCCTAGTGGTGAAGACCTGGTAGCAGCCACAATGGGGGAGCCCCTGTCCAGGGCTGAGGCGGAGGAGTCAGGCAGCGCTCCCCCCGAGGGGCCCCCACTGCCCATACCCACGGTGACCCCTGCAACCACGGTCCCTCCGGTCACTTCTTCGGTAAGTGGTGTAGAGGCGGGAGATTTACAGAGGAGAGAAGGAAAGGCTGACATCCTGGGAGGAGCCTGGCCCTGGCTTTCTCAGAGGTGCGTTTTCCTTCTGGTTTGCAAACTGCCCCATTTGAGATCTCGAGGGGCCTCCAGCCCGGGGAACACACAAAGAAGCGGAAGTTTGTAGAAGAAAAAGCAAGAGGTAAAAATCTAGGGCACCTGGCTTTGTGTCCCACGCGTCCCTTACATTGGCATAAGAACGTTCTGACAGGCAGAGCTCACCAAAGATCAAAGGCCCATCTCAAATGTCAGGAGGTCCCTGCACTGGAGGTGGGGAGCCTCAAAGACAGAGCCTGGGGCAGGGCTGCAGAGGGAATGGAAGCATCAAGGATGTGTGCGTGGGGAGGGGATTGCATCCCTTCCAACAGGAGTTTCTGGCTGCACCTGTGTAACCTCACGCATGTCCTTTCTTTTCTTTGGGCCTCATTTTCTGCCTGGGAAAGAGGGTGGCTGGGAGGTCAAGTCATTGCACCAACTGTGCCTCATGCGTTCCACCTCCTACCCCCACCTTTTAGAGCAGAGCGGAGAGGAGGCTGGAGTATATGAACACAAATCCCAAACACCGTCTCATTTAACTCATAAACATGTTCATGTGTATCGCCAGTAGGTTGACCTGGACCTTTTCTGTTTTCCTTACCCACGATGTCATTATCCATTTCACAATGGTTCTTTCCTGTTATCTAATACCGGAGTTTAAAAAAATCTTCTTACTGATGTTTGTTTGAATCTGGATCCACACAAGGTCTACATGTGACGCTCGGTTGCCTTGTCTCTTAAGTCTCTTTTTATCTGTGGCTGTCTCCCCACTTCTTCTCTTAGCCATTGAGATGTTGAAGAACTGGGTCAGTTGTCCTTAGGCCCTCCGTGTTTTCTGCTTTGAGAAGTTGGCACGTGGTGAGGGCGTGGTGAGGTCAGCTGTGCTGGTGGGAGTGCTGCTGGGTTTATTACTTCTGGGAAATTGTTTGTCAGCACATATTAGCAACCATAAAACAGCATATTGTTGACCCAGAAACTTCTAAGAATCCGTCGTAAAGGAGCATTTGATACGTTACAAGGATTTTAATGTGTTGTCCATAGTAGAAAAAAAAATCGGACATGGTTTAACTAGCTAACGGGTTAGTTGAGTTAAAATATATTCAAATAACAGAACATATGCAGCTATTAAAATTATATTTATTCAGAGTACTTTATGTTGGGGGGAAATACCACACAATGTTAAGTGGAAAAATGCTGGTTATAAACTTGAGCATATTGTGTGGTCTTAACTATTTAAAAATAGACACATGTAAAAACCCTGGAAGGAAATACTCTCCCTAAATGTTAGCAGTTGTTGCCTCAAAGTGGTAGAACCATGAGGGTTGTTTCCACCATCCCCTTATGATTTTTCCAGTGGGATTTTAAAAAGTTCTAAGAAGAGAAGTATGTGTGTGGGGGTGGAGGTGGGGGTGAGGGAGTGGGGGTGGAGAATGTGGGTTGGGTATTTGTGAGGATAAGAGAGAAAGGAGAAAAGGAGACACAAACACTCCCTCCGGTCATCTTGACATATTACTAATGAAGATAGATCACCCTTGAGTGCAGGAATCTGCGATGCATGGAAATGGATGCCCTGATTCATGAGCAAATGGTTTAAAAGCACAATAAGGACAATCAAAAGAGCATCCACTCTGGAAAGTCTTTAGGATAATTTTAAATCTCAGAGTTACCAAGGCAGTGAGTGAGAGAGGCATCGAAGCCTGGTTGTGCGACAAAACTGTGGCAAATTTCCTCTCTCTCTCTCTCTCTCTCTCTCTCTCTCTCTCACACACACACACACACACACACACACACACACACACACACACTTTGCTTATGAATAAAATGGGCATCATAGTACCTACATCTTGAATTGTGAGGATGCAGTAAGTTAATACACGGAAAACTTTACCTGGCATGTAGTATATGCTCAACAAATAAGTTATATAGAGTTATTATGCAAATGAGGCTCAGAGTGGGTTAAGTGTTTGCTCAAGGTCACAACTCCCAGGAGTTAAGTAGAGATGAGTTTTAAGGTCTGGACTTTCTACTTTTGTTTTCTGCACTGACCATAACCACCCTTTTCAGACATGATCCAGAAGTTGAACAGCAAATCTCACATTGCTGTACCCATGAGGTCATTCTGTTTCTAAGGTCGTTTGGCAAATAGAACCTATTATCTGCTGGGTGCAGGTGACATAGCAGCAGCTAGAGGTTAGGTAGATACTAGAGAGGTGTTTAGGGGATTTTATTTTGTTCTTTGGAGGAACTGATGGCATTCAACAGGTATGTGCTGAATGCCTTCTTGGTGCCAGAACTCAGGCTGGCACTGGGCATCCAGAAGTGTCTCAGGATTGGGCTGACCCCAGAGGAGTCCTAGTCTAGAGTGGCTGATGGACCGCACACAACTGGTCCTGGCATGAAATCGAGACCTCAACAGAGGCTGATGGAAACACAGAAGAGAGAGACATTCTGTCTGAAAATGGGGTGGGGGAAGTTATCATTGAACGAGTTTTGAAGGATGAATAGGGGTTTGAAAAGCAGGAAAGGAGGTTGGGGCAAAGATGTGAAAGCATGTAGCATGTTTGAGGACAGCTGGGTGCTGGTGCACAGCTGGGAGGTGGCGAGGGAGGAGGGTAGCTGCAGAGCGGGAGAAAGGGCTGGAAGGAAAGGCGGACACCGAAGTTAGCAGAGCTGCAGAATGTGGGGAGACTGTCAGTGACGTGGCTGTCCTTGGGGAGTGGCAGTGGAAACCAAGTTGTGAGAATTTTTTTTCTCTGCAGATGGGAGCAGAGGAGGAGGGCTCTGGCCTGGGCTGGGGCTCGGAAATCGGCTCTGGCTCTGGTGACCTGGGGCACAGTGAGGAGCTGTTAAGAGTGAGTATGAGGGGGTGACAGGGCCTGGTGCCTGGTGGCCTTCACAATGGAAGGAGAGAGGGAGGAAAGCGAGGGCAGACACCGGACGGAACAGATTGCCCACCATCAGTAATTGTTGAGGCTGGCGGTGGGCTCCTGGGAGTTCATTATATGGTATATCTTTGTATATATTTCTCCACGTCGATAGTTTTGTTAAGTGAGTATGAGCCTAAATTCACATTCAGAACCCCCACCTCCCCACTTGCCTCCTTTCCCTGGCAGCCTTCGCCAGCAGGTGTATCCATGGCCTTCACCTCCACAGATTGGCTCTGCCCCCACCCCACCCTCCCTCCCAACCCAGAGGCCACCCCCTCCCTCCTCTCTACTCCTCTCTCCCTCCGGGGTTTCCTGCTTCTCTGGCCTCCTGCCCAAGGTTGGGACCCCACTGGTCTGTCTCTAAGTTGGCCCCCAGGGAGCACCTCCCTTCAACAGCCACAGTTGACACCATTGTCCCTGCCCTCAACCTCAGCTCTGTCTCTTCCTTGGAGCACCTGTGCTGAACCCCCACACAGATGGCTCCACTCGGCTGCCCTCTGCCCACTCGCCATGACCGGGTGGGAAGGGTTTAGGATTTGCTACTGGATCTTCCAGGCTGATGGGATCGGCCGACCCAGACAGAGGCTAAAGAGACTAGCACATTGCACAAGGCTTTTTAACAACAAGAGTTAGCACAACAGGCAGTGTTTGACTGACCTCTTGATTAATTGGAAAAGTGAGTTAACAGCATCTCTGAGGATTCCAGTGAATTGGGTTTTTATTGTGTGCATCCACCTGAGGAGAAAACATGGTAAAATGGGCGCAGAAAGACCTGGCTTCCAATCCCAGCTCTTCTCCTAATTAGCTCTGTGTGTGACCTTTCAGCAAGGTGTGTCATCTCACTGAGCCTCAGTTTCCTCACTGCTGAGTGGAAACACCAGTCTCTTCTCATAGGGAGGTTGTAAGCAATGGAGAGAATGGATAGAACATATATGCTCAGTATATATTTATCCCCTCCTCTGATGTTTCTTAACTGACTGTCTATTTTTTAGGGTCCCCCTGGCCCCCCGGGCCCACCTGGCTTACCTGGGAATCCAGGAAAACCGGGAACTGATGTTTTCATGGGACCCCCTGGATCTCCTGGAAAGAATGGAGCTGCCGGTGAACCTGGGCCCCGGGTGAGCTGCTGAAGTCATCTCCCCTCCCCGTGGCCATAGGCCTTCCTTCAGCCAGGGAGGGGCATGCAGACCGCAGACCCCAAACCCCAGTGCTGTCTAAGCTCACCACGGGGAGCGGGGAGCGGGGAGCGAGCAGCCAGCTAATGTTTGTAAACAAAAATCCTCAGCAAGTCACTGCTAAGACTCATAAGAAGCAGCAGTTAAGAAAAACATCATCCTACACAGACAGTGTTTTGCTGCTTTATTTAGTCAGTGTAGGAAACGCAGACTCACATGGAATCCTGGACTCATAGGACGTCAGTGCTGGGCCTGGGATGGGAGCCCCTCAGAGACCATCTAGGTCCACCCTGCCCCTGATTCCTCCACCGAAGGAGAAACTGGACCCTCGTCCATAGGTGCTCAGCCTCTGCTGGCCAGGACAGGCATTCCGCCATAGACCAGGCACAGGCCTGGGGCACCAGCCTCACCTTCTGGGTCCTCCCAACCCTGGCCTCCTTATGTAGGAAGCCTTTGTATTTGATTCTGATCAAGGATGTTGTGGGCTGATTGTCACTAATGTTCTCCAGGGCCCCAAGGGACCGCCTGGACCTGATGGAGCCTCCGGCCGTCCTGGGACAAAAGGGGAGAAGGTAAGGGGAAGGTGGGAGGGTCTAACACCTGGAAACCACCAGGCCCACACTGCCCCTCTCTGACCTTGCATCTCCTGGTCCTCTCTGCTGCTGTCTCCATCCGGGGCTCTCTATGCCAGTCCTGAACTCAGCATCTGCCCTGCCCACTCCTGCATGTCCCCAGCTTCAGTGAAGGGCACTACCAGGTCCCAGTTACATGGATTCAGAAACAGAGTCCACTCTAACTCCCTTCCTCTCCCCTTCCGGCCATGATCTGTCCGGCGTCAGGACCTGCCAATCTGATGTCCACTTCTCTCACCCCTCTGTCCATCCTGGCCTGACATTCATCTCTCCTTATGCACACTGCGGCATCAGGCTCCTCACTGGTGCCCCAAGCTCCCACCCACAATCCAGCCTCCACCCGCCTGCCTGGACCACTTCCTGCAGTGGGTTCCCATCAGTCACTGCCCTCTCCCAGGAGAAAATATCGTTGTCTCCCCACTGCCCCCAGGAAAAAACCGTAACTATGTGCAGACCCTCGAGGCCCTTCCCGACCTGCCTTTCTAGCTCCACCCCCCACCAGCCCTCAGATGGCCTCCAGGTCAGCCAGCCCTACTGAAATGTTCTTCCCCCACAGCCTCCTGGACTTTGCACATGGTTTTCTCTGTCTCAGATGTCTTTCCCTCCCTCGTTCTCCAAGGCCCCATTCAGATATGACCTCTGGGAAGCTCTCCCAGTTCCTTCCCAGCAGAAAGCACCCCTCCTTTCTGCACTTCCCATTTGCACAATATTTATTCTGCTGGGACCCCGCTTAGCCAATGGCACTATCGCTGTTAGCTTATCTGTCTGCTCCTACCCTGACCCCGACAACCAGAGTCCCAGTACTGTCTGTGAATCCTTAAAACCTAGCGCAGACCTTTGTTAGCCTTTGATGAATGGATGCAACTTCTTTCAGGCGCCATTTTCATCTCCCATTCCCAGGGCCTTGCATGCCTTCACTCTCTTCCGTCTCTGTAAGCCCCTAGTTGCGTTGTAGTGGGGTTCCTGCTCCCCCAGCTCCCAGGCTGGTGGGTGAGATCAGCCAGGTCCCACAAAGGAGGGCAGTAAAGGTAAGATCAGCCTCCTAGTGACGCAGCCTTGAGTTTTTCTGGGGTTTGGGAGAGGGTCTCTCCCAGCTGGGAGGCGGGCAAGGGCTTCTGTATACCCTACCTTGCTGCTAGATACAGCCACCCTCACTGAGCTGAATTTCCAGTTTCTGTCAGTTTTCAAGTGTGTTTATTTTAATCGAACCAGTAACTGGATTTTCGTGGAAAGCTCATTTCTCAGAAAAAAAGCAGAAAGAAGTAATTGCCAAGCTTTATAGAACTCCTTTTACATGTACCAACTTTTTCATAAGAAATTAAATTTTGCAGGAAACATCACAGACCTACACTCATCTTCCCTGTTCTTACCAGCTTCCCCCACCCACCCCCACACACTCGTCTGGCACTTAAAAATACCCACGCCCATATCCGCACACATACATCCCGCGCACACACATCGCAGCGGCTCAGCAGCTGCTCAGGGAAGCAGCCGTGCCGGAGCAGCAGGCTTGCTCAGATGTAATTGTTGAAGACAAATCACGTTTCCCCCTGAAGTTTGCTATGAGTCCTCATTTTGTCCCACTGTGTATGCATATGCTGCTTCCTGGTGAAGTAAAAGCAGAAGCAAACTCTAGAAGGACTTGCAAATTTGCATCTGGAGAGCTCAAGGGGAAACTTACACATGACTTTTACCTTAAAAAAACACACCCAAAAAACAAAAAGTAAACCAAGGAGCATGGTCTGGATGTAAAATAATAAAATCATGCTAAAGAAAGGAATAATTTCAGGGATATAACAAAACAAAAGATTCAATGATACAGTTTTAACTGTGTGTGTGTGTGTGTGTGTGTGTGTGTTATAGCTATATATATATATATATATATATATATATCTTTATTGATTTCGGAAAGGAAGGGAGAGGGAAAGAAAGAAACATTAATGATGAGAATCATTGATAGGTTGCTTCCTGCACACCTCCCACTGGGGATCGAGCCTGCAACCCAGGCATGTGCCCTGACTGGGAATCGAATCGGACACTCAGCCACTGAGCCAAGCCAGCCGGGCCCAATGATACCTTTGAGCCTCCATAATATCTGCTCTTCAGCTTGCACACCTCCAGTGACAAGGGACTCATTTCTTGCCCAGGCAATGCCTCCCATGGACACCTGGGAAAGGTCTTCCCTCGTGCTATGAGGAAATTGGCCTCTGTTGTCATTTGCAGGGCAAGTTGTCTGAAGTGGGGTTTTCCCCCAAAGAACAAGGTCCAGTTTATTGGGCCGGAAGAAAATATAATATATAATCATTATTTTCAAATGTGGGGTTGTTCTCAAAATGTGGATGTCATTAAGAATTTATCAAGTAGATAATTCTATGTTGACTTCCATGATAGGAGCATTCCTAATTTATTTTTTCCAAATTACGATCAACTGATTCTGAGATCTGATTCTGAGATCAACTGATTCTGAGAACTGTAGCCCAGGAAGGAGTAGATGAGGAGCAGCCTGCTTTCTCAGATACAGATGCTTCTGGAAAGTATGCTGAAGAACTTGTTGGAGATGGGCCGCTGGAAAATCCCTTTCTGCTTTTTGCGCTGCAGATTCTGCTGTCCGGGTCTTCAGCATCTACCTACGATTAACAGAGTCATTCTTTCCCTTCTTTTATAATCTGTGTTTTATTGTTGTTAATCTTCACCCGAGGACATTTTTTCCCCCCGTTGATATTTTAGAGAGTGGAAGGGAGGGGGAGAGACAGAGAGAGAGAAACATCGATGTGAGAGAGACACATCGATTGGTTGCCTCCCCCACATGCCACTATCAGGACTGGGGATTGAGCCTGGAACCGAGGTACATGCCCTTGACTAGATTGAACCTGGGACCCTTCAGCCTTCGGCTGATGCTCTATCCACTGAGCAAAGCCGGCTAGGGCATTTCTTTCATAATAGAAATCATTCATTGTCTTCTTCAGTCTCCAAAGATACCAGGACATCCAGGTAGAGAAGAGTTTGTCCTTTGACATTTTCTTCAGTGCCCAGAATTGCTGAGGAACGTGAAGCTCCGAGAAAGTGGCCTTGAGTAATCTCACCGAGCTGCTGAAATGTCAGTGTTTGCATTATCTTTTCCACCATGTAAGAGGAGTGTGAGTAAATCATCATTACCTTCCCTTTTGCCACGTAATCCCTACTTGGCTCTGAGCAATTCTCTGAGTCTTGTATAATAAAGAGCAGTGTACTTACTTCTCTAGACCCTGAGCAGCCCGCAGCTCTTGACTAGGGTCCAGTCATGGGTTTAGAGCTTGTAACAGCATATTTCAATTAAGCATTCTACTATTGGCCTGAGTTCACATTTTATACCTTATTTCAGCATCAGCCATGTTCGGTACGAAACCAGGATTGTAGGCTTCCATGAAACTAAATAAACCACAGTCCCTTGTCATTGTAGCGTGTTGAAGTTATCGTTCTAACAAACACCGTGAGCAAAACCAACAGGCACCCACGGGCACTAAGCTGTGCTGTCTCAGAAACCACAACAGATAAAATTTAAAAAAAATCCATGAATTTGTTCGTTTTCTTGATGTTCCTGTGTGAGGAAGTCTAGTAACAACCTTAGCAAATCCCGTCACCGTGATGAGCTGATATGATAATGATTCTAAACCATGCTTTTGCCATATGCAGCAGTCCTTCCTGCCCCTGGTTCTGTCCCGGGGTTTCTGTTGTATAACTGGTCTCTCCATACTTCCTCGTCACCACTAGACTTGCAGTCATGCTGGTTGGAATTCCAAGATAGTGCAGAGCCTCGCGGCACAGTTCTCTCAGGGAGGAATGAAGTACAACTCTACCACCACCGTTGGGGAGAGTATGGGGGTCTTTGCTGACCATTTTCCTTGGGGCTCCCGCTTTTCACTCTACCTGTTGATGTAAATTCCAATAGGAAGAGCTCATCTATCCCCAACCTGATCTGCTCATATTCCAAAGTGGTGGCCCCCAAATCTGTGAGCTGGTGGAATGGACCCAAATACTGTCTCTCCACACGCAGGGCCTCTAACCTATTCTTTATGTAGTTCTCTCCAGGAGTGTCTCTTCTGTTATTCAGACCTTCTTATTGAAATAACTCTTATTGTTCTGTTCTTTCTTCCAACAGTTATATATTTTTATTTCCAAGATCTCTACTTGATTATTTTCCATAACCACTGTCCTTACTTCGTAGTAGTTTGTTTCATGATTGTAATATCCTCCCTTTTCTCCCTGAGAATATATATCACATCCTTCAAGTACTGATTGGATTGTGTTCTTTACTCTGTTCCCTCAGGCATACATTCCATTGTTGGCATTGTTGCCTTCCCTCAGATGTATGGTGTTTTTGTTTGTGGGTTTGCTTTCAACATTGAATTCCCTCTTGATCTGTTTTCTGTGTGTGTTTTTACAGATTGTTAGGTTGTTAGGCAGTAGCTACTATTGGGAAATCCAGGTTTCAGGAAGGAAATGGGAGGAGTAGGATGTGCCATCAGGCAGGTACCTCAACAGCCGATCTTATGAGTTTGGGGTACCCCTAGACTTCTCAGGGTTCCCTAGCCCCTGGGCCTCTGCCCTTTTTGTTTCAGGAAATAACTCTTATTGTTCTTGGACTGGCAGTGGGAGTGGGAGGCAAGGGGAGATAGGCAGGGCTCCTTGGCTGTGCCTTGCTCCAGAATTTCAACCATGTCCCTGTCAGAGCCACACCCTCCTCCTGGCTTCCACCACCACTTTGCCCAATATTTTTCTCCCCTGGTTTCCCTCTATGACTGGAGCCTCTGGCTTTGGCTTTCCACCTGTTTTCGCTTTGGCATTCTTCACTGCTTCAGATTCAATGTGACTCTCCATCTGATTTTTGAGCATGACTCTTTTGGAATTATCCACTCCGCCATTTCTATGGAATGGGTGTAGAAAGGGAATCTAGCCCAGGGAGATGGGATTGGGGAGAAGGGCGGTACATCATAATCAGGTGTCAGGGCCTTCTGTGTGGCCCTGAATTGCTGGCTCCTTCCCTTGAGGGTGCTTTTGAGGTTTCCTCATAATTCCCCAGAGAGAGACCCAAATGTAGTCCCCTAATGTAGGACAGTGTCTCCTGGGGGTGAACATGCAGCCTGTTTAGTGCAACACGCCCCCCGCCCCCCCTTTCTGGGGCCATTTTAGGCAGCTTTTGGTCTTTAGATTTTTCCCCAGAAGAGAGTCAGTCATCCTTTTACATATCTCCAAAAGTCTAGTGAATACATAGCAAGGTCTAGCTCAAAGTCCCTTCCTTTGACTTCGAGCAGGGGAAGTGGCCCTTTACTTCCATCCTGGGAGGAGTGGGGAAAGGGGCCGACCAGTGCACTGACAGCTCACCATGGGAATTCTTCCTCTATGAGCCCCCATGGTTAAACTTCAACTCCTTCTTACTCTTGAGGTAGGTGATGAGCTAATCATTGAAAAATGGGTCTCACAAGCCTTCAGCATGACTTGCCTGCAACTGACAACTCTCATAATGCACTCAGCTTTGAGACATCAGCCCAAACAGAGAGAGGAAGAGACCCATTTTAATATCCTGTGACTTAAGAGTCCATAGTTCTCAATTCTCTTCTGAACGCACCTAATGAGAGAGGTATCAGTTGACCTGTTGACTCTGTTTTGTTTCTTTTTCAGGGAGCAAGAGGGCCTAATGGTTCAGTCGGTGAAAAGGTAAAAAAAAAAAAAAGAAAAGAAAAGCTTTTCCTCCTTCCTTCCCTTTCTCTGGGTTCACTGTGATCGGACTGTGGGGCTGGAGCACTGAAGGTATCAGTGCGTGGGGCAGAGAGAAACATCCGGCGCTGGAGGGGAGTGAGTAACCTGCAGTGTTTCTCCTTCCTCACCCTTCCACACACGTGTCCACACATGAGTGCCTCTGCCTACCGAGCGCAATGTCAATTAGCCTGACAGCCGTTTCTGTACCATTAAGCAGTAACCATCAGATTCATCAGCCTAATTAAGCCTGAAGAATGATTTTCTGACTCATGGTCTGTGTCGTTCCTTCTGTGTATAACCCATGGCTGGGTAGTCAGCCTGTCCTCTTCTCTACAGGGTGACCCTGGCAACAGAGGCTCACCAGGACGCCCAGGGAAAAATGGACAAGTTGGCACTCCTGGGATCATGGGACCCCCAGGGCCTCCTGGGCCCCCAGGGCCCCCAGGCCCTGAATGTACAATGGAACCTGAATTTGAGGTACTTGCACCTATCTGTGGTTGAAGAACAATATGCCCTAAGGGTTACTGGGCAGTAGATTGAAGACCAGTAGATTGAACCCCGGTTTGAGGGCAGGGGCTGTGCTGATTCCCACCAAGCTCCAGCTCCCAAAACCACACCTGGCGCTAGCAGGTGCTCAGGAATTGGGCCTGAATTTCTCATTCTTCTTCCTTCCTTAGTATATTGAAGGCTCTGGAACCATCAGGTCACGGCATGAACCCAGAATCTCAGGACCAAATGCTTCAAATGTAGGTTGAATTACTTTTTAAATATATTTTTACTGATTTCAGAGAGGAAGGGAGAGGGAGTGAGAGATAGAAACATCAATGATGAGAGAGAATCGTTGATTGGTTGCCTCCAGCACGCCCCCTACTGGGGATCGAGCCCACAACCCAGGCATGTGCCCTGCCCTGAACAGAAATCAAACTGTGACCTCCTGGTTCACAGGTCAACGCTCAACCATTGAGCCACACTGGCTGGGCAAGGTTGGCTTTTGAAAACTTCATCTCGAGGCCTGTCATGCTGGAGTGAGGGGACTGGCTCTGCTACTTTCAATAACTAACCCTCTCTGTGCCTCCAGCTCCCAGCTGTGCAATGGGAGCCTAGGTGCTCTTTACCGAGTGTTTCTTTGAGGAGCAGTACAAAAGTTTTGCACAAAACATCCTGTGGGGTCTCTCTCTCTCTCTCTCTCTCTCTCTCTCTCTCTCTCTCCAGTCCTCACCATCCAGCATCTCTGCTTCATTGCCTCCTTCTTGCTGCCCATTCAATACTCACACTTTGACCCATTTCAAAGCCAGTGCTTGAAGGTGCCCCTCCCTGATGCACCTAGTCCCAGGGAGGCCGCAAGTGTTGTCTACCTTCTGCTATGATACCTGCTGTTAAGAAGACCAACCTTTGGAACCTCATTATCTTTATCACATGGGACCTAGAGCTGAGCACTCAGTCCAGGGATAGTCTGACCTTCCCCATCCTCCAGATGCCGGCTCTGAGACTCAGGGTCAAGAAGACCCCCACCCCTCAGCCCCTGTGCTGGGAGAGGACTCTGGTCTCCTTGCCCTCTGAGGGGTACTCCTTCTGACTCTGGGAGGGGAATTTGCCCCCATCTTTTGTTCCCCTTGCCGGAGGCAAAATCCATGTCAGTGTGTATGGAGAGATGGCAAGATCCAAGGGTAGATAGGGAGCAAAGTAAATAGAAAAACAACAACAACACGAGGATCTTTGTTTCTTTGTTTTGCCAGGGTCTCAAAGGAGAAAAAGGAGACCCGGGGCTCAAGGTGAGGTCACAGCTCTGAGGTGGGGTGTGAGGACTGGCCTGCCTGGTTCTGGGAGCGTTATCCGTGCACAGTGAATTGTTTCTCCGCTCTCGTTATTGTATCCAGGGTGAAAGAGGGATGGATGGCACCAGCATAGTGGGACCTCCTGGGCCCAGGGGACCACCAGGGCGCATCGAGGTCTTGCCTAGTGTGAGTATCATCCAGGTCAGAACGTGGCTATTTTCTGCCTTTACTAAAGGAAAGAAGATTGCCCACAACTTCAGGGTTGCTGGTTATCCAAGGGGCACCTGGCCGGCATCTGGCATTGGAGTTTCCCCCTGCCAGCATGCCCCTCCTGTCTGTCTCTACCCTGGAACCACTATTCTCTCACCTGGTGCTTCCAGAACCCTGTCTGCTGGTTGGCAGCATTTGCAGTCATAAGAATGGCTGTAACAGAGAAGCAAAGGAACATACGTGGGGACACAAGGGAGGAAAGATGGTTTGGGATATGATAAATCAAGGAAGACTTTCTGGAGGAAGTGTCTTTGAGCAGGGATTTAAAAGCTAAGAATGATTTTACTACATAAGCATGGAGGACAGGACTTCCAGAATTCAGGTGGCAGGGGCACGATGAGGCAAAACACAGAATAGGAATAAATTTGTGTGTCCAAGGCATGGGAGTGGGTGGAGAGTGATGGAAATTTGTAGAGAAGACTGGGCTGTGGGCTGGGACCAGATCACAGTCCATTTACTATTAGGATATCACATTTGTTAAAAATCGTGGCCCTTCTGAGAGAAATGCAATACAGTAATCGACAGAAAGTCAGAACATCCCAAATAATTAGAAAAAAGATGACTAGAGTAAAAAAGTATTATATATATGATTTAAAATATCAAGTGTGGGCAAGGGTGTGATGAAATAGACAATTCCACATGCTTTTGTGGAAATGTAAATTATATGACTCCTTTAGACAGCTCTTTGGCAGGCAATCTGTTAAAACTAAAAATGCCTATACCTCCCAATGCCACATGGGAAGATTTCTGTGCTATAAGGTTGAGTGGGAAAAAAAAAGCAGCAAGGCGAAGGAGAATACGTGCAGCCTGATGCCATTATATAAAATGACCATGTGGCAATGCCGCATGGGGAACACGGTCAATAGCATTGTAATAACGATGCATGGTGCCAGGCGGGTGCCAGACTTATTGGGGTGATCACTTTGTAAGTTACATAGACGTTTAATCACTATGTTGTACACCTAAAATTATATAATAGTATATGTCAACTGTAATTGAAAAAATAATAAAATAACTACATGGACACACACACACGTACAAATACTAGTATACACACCAACCACACTACAAGCTTCTGTGGAGATTTTAAAATTTGGAAAGAGAGAAGGCATTCATGTGTTGTGCAAGCTTAAGATTGATTGAAAGAGGAAAGTGATAAGGCAGCTCGGAGCTGGTTTTATGCAGTGGGAGGCATGCGTGTACTGGCAGTGGGTTTAGGGTGTCATCAGCCTGCCCGCGTTCTGCCATGCTGGCTGAGTTTAATTAAAGCCTCGCTGCCAGGAACATGGTGGAACATGTGCCACCCTCTGTCTCATTGTCTGGTTTTTCTCTTTTCAGTCTTTGATCAACATGACCCACGGATTCATGAATCTCTCCGACATTCCTGAGCTCACTGGGCCTCCGGTATGTATCCATAGCTGCCTAGAGCAGTGATGGCGAACCTTTTGAGCTCTGCGTGCCAGCATTTTGAAAAACCCTAACTTAACTCTGGTGCTGTGTCACATATAGAAATTTTTTGATCTTTGCAACCATAGTAAAACAAAGACTTATATTTTTGATATTTATTTTATATATTTAAGTGCCATTTAACAAAGAAAAATCAACCAAAAAATGATTTCGTGTGTCACCTCTGACACGCGTGTCATAGGTTCGCCATCACTGGCCTAGAGTGAGGCTCCCACCCAGATGTCCCTGTTGAAACTAGGTCGGGTCGGTCTGCATAGAGCTAGACTATATCCAAGTAGAGCGGAAAGAGAATTTTGCATTTCTGAGAAGTTGCTGTCACGTTAGTTGGATCATGCAGGGAGTGTTGTCCAGTGCAGAGGAAGCTTCCGTCCTGCGCATCACAAATGTGTGTGATGGAAATCAGAGAATCATCGGTAATAACCCGATTGACGTCTGTGCAGCGCTTTTGGCCTGCCTTTATTTACGTGATCTCATTTCACGGAACAGGAAGAGATTAGAGAAACCTATCTGTGCTAATGGGCAAACCGGCACAAGAGGAGGGAACATGACTTGCTTCCGTCTTTCTAGGCCCATTTGAGACACCAGGGACACACAAAGAAGCGACATTATTTTTTTGCAAGTCCACAGGCTTGGTCCACGGCACAATAGGACTTAAGAGGAAGGAAGCCTCCTCCTGCAGCCTGTGCATTAAATCCCATTGCATCTTCCACATCTGCTCATGACAGCTGGGGACAGAGGGGAGAGCTCTAGCCGTAGAAGCCTTGGGGTTCCAGTCCATCTCTGCTACACACCACTCGGAGTCTTTCTCTGAGAACACCTCACTAGTTTGGGGGCAGCTTATAAGAGGCTGTGGATATGAAACTGCTTTGCAAACTGTGGCACTCTGTGTAGCTGACATGGAGATTGAGGCTTATACTTCCACAGCTGTGCAGTCCAGATGTCTGTTGGGCCACCCACTCCTGCAGTCCCCAGTGAGGGTGGCCTGAACGCCACCATTCAGTGCCCTCTGCAAACATCTGGGAGGTTCCTCTAGAGCTGGTATCTCCTGCTGCTAGCAGGTCATTGTGTTATCTCTTCTGTGCTATATCCAATGGGGCCTCCTTTCCTTGATTTCTACTAAAATCACCCAGAGCACCCCAATAATCAAACCCTAAAGCAAACGAGCTAATAAGCAAAAGTCAGTTCACAGAGGTCTTGCTTTTCCCCAAACTATTGGAGGTGTAGGTGTAAGTGAGTTGATGCTCAAGCAAAACACAGACTGAAATTGAAGATTCGGCATCTCCATTCTAAGATGGGCCTTGTCTGCCTGCATTGCCCTGCCCCCACCCCTATAACCCGCCTTCCTTCCCAACCCCTCTCCTTTTCAGCAAGTCCAGACCCACAGGGGCCCTTCATCCCTAATGGAGGGTCAGGATTTTCCTGCTCAGGGCAGTTCCCTCCCTGGGAAGATTCAAGTCCCAACCAGTGCCCTCATGCTTTTAGACCCCGCTGTGTATACAGTATACTGATAAACGTGTTGCTCTCAGATTCAAGTCCCAACCAGTGCCCTCATGCTTTTCGACCCCACTGTGTATACAGTATACTGATAAACGTGGTGCTCTCTGGATCTCTCTCTCTCTCTCTCTCTCTCTCTCTCTCTCTCTCTCTGTGTGTGTGTGTGAGTGTATTCTGCCTTTAATAGGTATGTGGGTATCTGGGCTGGCAGGAAGAAGAGTCCTGGCTCCATGTGGAGTGAACCACAAACTCACTGCCTCTCAGGGCCCTTCGAATGACTGGTCCTTTAAAATTCTCACTCCTGCCTGGGGAAAAGACCTGAGTCTCGCCCACATGCCCCCACTTCCACCCTCACACAGCCCAGAACGCCCTTTGGCCCCATTCCTCAGTTTAGAAACCTGTTCTCTGAGAGTGTTTGTCCAAGTCCAGTGAAGCATTCATCACCTCAGAGTTTTCAGATGCTGAGCAATTTCATGGAAGAGGAGGCAGCCACCGACAGTATAGACAGTTCTGGCTCTGGGGGGCGGGGGCTCGGGGCACCTGTGCACAGTTCCTGGCTCTGCCACTGACCAGCTGTGTGACTGCCCAGTTCCATTCACTCTTGGGCCTCAGCATCCTCTTCTGAAAAATGGATCGTGAGCCCCACTGTGCGGGAATATGCATAAGTCTTTGGAAGGTGCTGAGCGGGGTGGGCCCCAGAGTGCAGTGCTCCTGCTGGCTCTGGAAATGCTGCCCCTAAACCACCTGCTTTGTCTTTGTTGTGTCACAGGGCCCGGACGGCATGCCTGGGCTGCCAGGGTTTCCAGTAAGTACCACAGTAACTGTCTTCCCTCTGTGCTCCATGGCGGTGCTCATTTGGTTCCTTCCACCTGGAATGCTCTTCTCCATCTGCCTGACCAAGCTCTAGTGCCATGTTGTTCATGTAACCTTCCCTTGTGGCCCCCATCTGAGTGATCCTCTCCTCCGGTCAGTCCCATGGGGCTTTATTTTCACCTTTGCTGTGGTCCTTTTCTGCCTTGAATAATAGTTATTTGTGTCCTTATCTTTTTTCCTTGACGGCACTGTAACCACGTTATGGAGGGTTGGGTCACTCATCTCTCTCAACCCAAGGGCCAGCCAGTGATTGGCTTCCTACACATGTTGACTTCCTATGCAAGCCAAGCATTTCATGTCAATACAGTAGATAAAGTTCCTACAGAGAAAGGATGGTGGCACTGGGGGCTGGGAGAGGGGAAGCATAGACTAGACATCCAGTAATTAAATCTATGTGCCCCACACTCAGGGGCTTCCACCACGGGAGGTGAAAGTGCATTTCTGTGTAGAAAGTGTTCTACAGGGTATCTCACCCTTTAACACAGAAGACAAGACAGGGACTTGTGAAAAGCCAAGTAGCAATAGTGCTGAGAGACCTTTGGAGGCAGATGTCTAGTTATATGAGTTATTGTCACAGATAGTAAGTTTCTGCTGGAGTTGGGAAAAGGTCACCTTTGGGTGTGCAGAATTTGGCTCTGCAAAGGGGTAGATGGGCATTCATGCAGGAGGAATGGCATGGGCAGAAGTGCAAAGGCAGCAGGGAGTGTGGAGAGGCAGAAGACAAGACAGGGACTTGTGAAAAGCCAAATAGCAGTAGTGCTGAAAGGCCTTTGGGGGCAGATGTCTGGTTATATGAGTTATAGTAAGGTGTCCGCTGGAGTTGGGAAGATGTCACCA